CGAACTTGATTTTGAAATATGCTATAGCATAGTAAAAGTTGGAGAGGACCCTAAATATTCAATTACACATAAAAAAAATTTTTATTTACGATAATTTATAATTTATAATAAAAAAATTTGTCGTTCTATGAAAACAACAATGAAATTAATTATTTATCCGGTTACATGAATATTTACTATAATATATATATGTCGTGCCTAGGGATGGTAAAAAAACAGTTTAAAAATGTTTCTTGTGTTTTTTCTGAAACACAAAACCGTTTTAAAACAATGGAGCTAAGTTTGAAACTGAAATAATTGTTTCTGATTGGTTAATTTCTGTACCGGAAAAAGTTCCATAATATCGTTTCGAGAAACACTCATACGGAAAAAAATTCTTTATTAAGCTATCATATTTATTAAAAGTGCTTTATTTGTAAATATCTTAAAAATGCATTACATTTAAAATGCAAAACTGCTAGTTCAAATTTATCTTTTTTTATTAACGCTAAATAAATTAATTTTACAGTCATATTGAGTTGCATCATAATTTTACGATAACAATGGTTACGTCAATGTTTTGAAATATATTAAAAACTATTTTAAACCAAACAATCTTTTAAGATCATGTTTTAAATCATTTTCCATCCCTAGTCGTGCCTAAGGTCTGCGCCTACCTAAAGCTGCAACTTCAGTTAGTCTGCGCCTACCTAAAGCTGCAACTTCAGTTATACTTGCCAACATTAACTTTAAGGATTAATTTCATTCAAGCGAAACTTCGGATGGGTGTCAACTTTAGACACGACATAATATAACAGAATCCAAATTAGATTCAGACGTGGTATAAAATTTATTAATATAGTAATACTGTACAATATTATGATAATTTATGTCTAGTGCATGAAATACAATTTTATTTATTCTCAATCTTCGTTATAAACGAGGTTAGAATCCGAAATATTTCAATCGGGTGAAATATTTCAGACTTCAAGATGTGCAAGATTTACTATGTATTTTACAGTTAAACTGAAATCATTTCTTTCTGGTGAAATTGTTTCACCTGAAACATTAATCTAAACTGTGTATCCATTTTTTTTTGTGTTACTTTAATTATTCAGTTAATAAGCTGATTAATTTAATTGTTCAGATTGGCATACTATTTTATTCTAGTATAACCATTTTATAAACATTCCATATGTGCTATTATTTACATAATAAAAATAATAAAATACTACTACATTTACATTATTACAGTTTTTTTAAGAATTAATGATAATATGAGGTCTTTTTGAATTAATTATACGGTCAGAGGATTCTCTAATTGTCATTGCTTCTTTTGAAAGTTTCTTTGCTAAAAATTCTCCATAATGAGATTGGATGTGAACCAGAGTGTAATGAAATACAGTTTGATTATTGACTAAATACTATCTACTAAATTTTTTATTAAGAATTTTTTGATATGGTCTTACTTTCTCAGTTTTTAAATTTTTAATATATAAAGATTTTTTGATATGACCGAACTTTCTCGGTTTTTAAAATTTGTGCCAATTTTGTATATCTCAGTACTTGAAGTAGAAGATTTTCTAGATTCAAAAAATTAATAAATTATTGATATGTTAATTATTTATCAAACTAAAAAAATAGTGACATTTTGTACCTTTGGAAGTATCAAAGTTAATATTAAACTTAAACTTGAAAAGAAAGAGAAAATTGAAGTCTTCACTTGCATAATGACTTATATAAGTATATACCAGGATTTTGATTTCACTTAAAAAGCTCAATCAAAGGTGTCATTAGCAAATTTCAGCAATGCCACATTTTTTTTGCACTTATAAGCAGTATACAGAGAGATAGATATTTTAATCACATATTATGATAAAAAATTATATATATAAATATATATGAAAAAAATAGTATGATTTAGGGGAGTAAGAAGAAGATTTACTATATTAGTTTTAAAAGTATTATAACAGTTATTAATAATTGTTTGGTCTAGTATACTGATACTAACAGGATTTTTGGCAATGTCGTTTCAAAATTGTTCCCCATTGTTTAATCGTTAATATTAAGTTTTGCATATTACATTAAAATTGACGTCTTTGGGCAGAGGAATTCTCTGAATAATTCAAAAATGTTACATAGTAATCAGCAAATCAGCGATCTATAGGACCATGCTAAACTATCATCATCACTTAATAAATGAACTCAGTGACAAATGCTTACCTCATAGTTTTCATTAGATATTTCTTCTCGATTATAGTTTTCATCCAGGCGTTTATTCTTTAGTGCTTCTTGTAAATTCAAATGTTTGTGGGTGTAATTTTAATGTTGGTGACTTCCTGGATTGTCTCACTCTATTATGACAGAGCAAAGCTGCAAAAATTAGTTAAGATTTAGTTTGTATTAGAATTATTGTAATTTATATTGTAGTATTACTGTAAAAAATTGTTACAGAACTTACTCACCATTCCAATGACTATAGTATACAACTTATGTTAAATTAGTTTGCTTTGGAATTATCACAATTTTACTTCCTTATTGGAGATCTCTTTTTTGTTTCTATAAATAATTTTTTTAAATATAGAGTTCTGGTCTCCATATATTAAATTTGGCTGTCTAAAGTCAGTAGTTTTTAAATTGATTACTAACAAATTTGTAAATTAAAAATTACGTGATGTATATAACTTACTTGGCTTTAGCTGATTCCTCATCCCGTTCCGGGTTATCAAAATCAAAAAATTAGTACTATAAACCATAATTAGATTGTTTATTTTTTGTGCCTTTTGGACTATATGTGGTATTAACGTTTTCTTATATGTCTTTTTTAAAGAGAATTTCACAGAATATTGGAATTCTTCCTCTAAAATATTTAAATCTTAAATACAACAGAATTTTATTATTTTACATGTCCAAACTTAAAAAAAAAAAAAAATTTATCAAAGCTTTTAATAAATCTATAGTATAAAGTTTTAACTTACATTTTACTGCCAGTTTTTCTCAGATAAAAAAATCTATCAAAGAAAATGAATTTAATGTGTTCAAATCCATAATATCTAATTTTTTTTCTTTCTCTTGTACTGTATCAGGCACGAAATTTTACCTAAGCTTTTAAAGAAACTTTTGTTGATTGTTTATTTTTTCAATTCACTTTTGTTATCGATAGTGTTGCATATACTCAAGGGTTTTTAGTTGATACAATATTGATAAGCAGCAATCAGAATCTTAATTATATTTTTTAAATTTCTTAAAGCAAAAAAATGTTTTTCAATAAAGTCCATGAGCACATAGTTTATGAAGTGCTGAAACATTGCAAGGACATTACACAAGCTGAATGGCATTAACAGGAACTCATAGATACTAAAGTAGCCGCAATCTCTTTCTAATAATGCTATTTATTTAATCTATAATCATGTTCAATTCAAGTTTTTATCATTTCACCTTTTTCGAATTCATCCTACAATACTATCGCTATTGTCTTTAAGCAGTTTTAATAGTTTTCTCAAGGTGATTTGATTTCATCTGAACAGTGAATGTGGTTATAAGAAAAAGTGTTGCAGAACTTCAGTTTCTTTGAACCAGGTGCATTTTAAAAAAGAAAAAAGTATGTATAAAAAGAAAAAAGACTATCATCATAAATTAGACGCGTAAAATGTAAATAAATTAAATATAGTAAAAATTTTTAAATTCGTGATTTGATTGGCTAATCAACATATGACACTTACTAAGTGTCTACCACTAATGTATAAGCGGTAGGAACCTGCAAGCCGGGTAAAGGACCTGCACGAACCTGATAAATTTATTTTTTGTCAGTCCGCTTGGCTGCAGATTAAAATTAAAAAGCTTGGCATGCTTTTTACTACATTTTTAACATATTCGGCCCGCAATTTTACAATTATTTTAAAATTGTACTTTCGGCTCAGCCCGACAAATTCAAAACGAAAATTGATATCTCTTCAACTAATAGTAACTAATAGTATAATAACTATACCATCTGCATACCCCAAACGTTTGCATAATTATTTTCCAAATTAGTGGCAGTCCTTCTATACTATGTTAAGCACCCAGGTTTCTGATTAGTTAATCACAGAACTTTTTTCACCTGAGATTAAGATTGAATTAAAACATGCACTTAATTTTGTGATTTGATATACTATATCTAATATACTGTACAAAATCACTAAACCTCTAGTATTGATAAAACTGAAACTCTGAACCCTTTTGATTTGTTGAATGCCCGAAACATACTAAATTATACTAAATCAATAGGTTTATCTTGATTTGAGTTTCTAATATTACTAACGTTTTTTCCTAAAACATTTTTCTTTTAATAATACCAGTTACTTAATATGTGATAGGCATTGATCTGTATGTTAATTAAACTACTTGTTTGTTTATATCGATTTCATTATTTAATTCATGCTTTAAATATTAATCCATGCTTTAGGATTTCTATTCACATCTGTTGTGTTCTCATTTCTAAATTAAAAAATAAAATAAAAAAAAATCGTCGTATCTATTACTTTTAATCTTTCTTTTCATTTGAAAGTCAACAACAAAATATCTATTAAAAAAATAATAATAATAAATATTATAGATCATTATTAAATGAAGTCTCACCAAGCACAGTTCCTATCTACTGCACCATTAACATCCATACATTCAACTAGACTTGACACTCGAACTTTTTATCGCCCTCAATCAAACAGTAATAATAATTTAGATTCTTCATTTACTCGAAAAAATCTTGATCAAAGATTCACAACTATTAAAATTCAAGAAACTTTACCTCGTTATCAAACTTCTAGCATTTATTTTGACAAAATTTTTGCACGACAAACTATTTATTCTCGCAGATCACGATGGATCCGCCAAGCATTCGCAACTATTATTATTATAATAGGATTTATAGGATTATATTTAATATATACCTTGCTTACATGTAGCACCAATTTAACAAATCACTTTTTAATATCTCCACGAGCAAATATAAAAGGTCAAATACTATTATATCGTATTCTCGGTAATGACCTTCCTCCAAGACATAAACCTGGTCAAACATTAAAAAATTTACGATTTATATTAGAACATGAATCAGAATTTTTAAATACAAAAAAATGGTGGATACTTAATAGAATTGCGAATCCTGAATATGAAATTGCTATAATTAATCTTTTAAAATTTTATAATCAAAATTATATTATAATACCTTTTGATGATCAAGAATATTTAAAATATGATTTTCGTCTTGAAGATTTTCCTGAACCCGATTTTTTTCATTCAAATGAATTCAGGAATTTTTCTAAAGTTCATAAATTAAAGACAATTGATTATATTTATTATGAAAAGAATTTATATGCCATAAATAATGTAAGTTAAGTTATCTATATTTATTTATTTAATCAATTTTTTGAATATATATTTCTTATATTTCTTATTAAATTTCTTAAATTTCCTTTTTTTTTTAGAATGGTGGTAGAAATGCAGCACTCGCTCATGGTAAATCACAACATAATGTTAGTTGGATTTTACCTTTCGATGGAAATTGTTTTTTAACTCCTAATGCGTTTGCTGATATTCGTTCACATTTAAATAAATGGGGTGATCAATATAAATATTTTATTGTACCAATGGCAAGATTGATAAATAATTCAAGATTATTAGATGGACCTGATACAAGACCTATTACTCCAGAAGAACCTCAAATTATCTTTCGTTATGATTCTGATAAAACTTTCAACGAAACTATGCGTTATGGTAGAAGGTCAAAAGTGCATGTCGAATTTTTTTTCATATATATATATATATATGTATCAACATTAAAAAAAAAAAGTTTATAATATTTTAATTAACAAGTATATAATTTTATTTAGTTGGAAATGTTATGGCGTTTAGGTGTCCCATCTACAAGCAAAAGTTCTGACAGATCTTCTTATCCATGGGAATTTCATGATTCTTACAAAAGCAAAAGTGTCCATTACAAAAAAATTGGTTGGGTTTTTCGTTTATTTTCCGGTCAAGCTTCACAAGAATTAAATAAGAAAGAAGCAGGTTCATTACGTGCGTATAATCGATTGTTGGCTGTTCAAGAATTAATAGATAGTATAGATGAACGAATTGCTCGAAAAATTCAAGGCTTTGATCCTCTTCGACTACTTCTTTATGATGAAAATTTATTAAGTCAAGCAAGATTTAATTTTTGGTTAGAAGTTCCGGATGTCGTTGAAATAGTTCAAGTCTTGATCAAACGTGCTGATGAGATATTATCAACTACTATTAATTTATTTGAATCGATACATGATGATCAAGAAGATGAGAATACTCGTGTTAATTTCATGAAGATAAAAAAAAGTTCATTACACCGACCAGTTGAATTAATTACACCTGATTCATTTTTTGAAAATGTAACGACTTTAGCTTTGGCTCATTATTTTTCAAATGATGAGAAATATGCAATATGGGCTGCCAATTTAATCCGAACTTTTATTCTTTCTTCTTATGCCATTGAAAATCGAGATGATTTTGATGTAACTACTTCTCATAATTCTGATTTTGATTCCGATAACGTTGAAGGTTATGATTTCCCAAATACAAATAAACTTCCACGAATTATCCCAAGAATTTTTAATTCAGACTCTTTATTTTCAACCAATATAACCGATTCAGACCCTAGCTTCTTTTTGGATGCGTGTAGACTTCTTTATCGTACAAATATATTTACTCATAAAGAATATATAAACCTTCGAATGTTTGCCTTTGATTGGTTAGATATTCTTATTAATTCAAAGATTACGAGAAAACCTGATCATCGTAGTATCATGCTTGATCTTCGAATATTATCATTAGCAGGATTTGTTGACGATTTAAGACTTTACCTTCGAATAGTTAATCGTGTTAGGATGCGAATTGGAAACCAATTTCATATCTCAAGTAATTCATCAACACAAGAAATAAAACAAAATTATGAGATCATGTTTGTTCAAAATTTACTTAATACCAGTAAGATTAAATCGTCAGATTATGATGAAAACATTTTTCATTATACATCATTAAATTTACAATATTGGCTACTACTTATACGAGCTGTACAAAATGGACGTTGTGGACCAGATATATGGCAATATACAGCTAAAGATGGACAAAAGATTAGTAGAGCTACTATGGAACATTTAAAGCTATATGCTAATAAGATGCATGATATATCTTTAATACATATAGCAAAGACTGCTTATATGATTAACAAATCCAAAAGATGCACATGGAAAGAACCAAAAGAGGAAATTGAATACTTTCAAAATTTAACCAATATCGATATTGATAACATGAATGTTATTTTTGGAAATCGGTCAGATGATAAAGAATTAAATACAAGGATTGGGTTAGGGAATGAAGCAAGGCGAAGAGGTTTACCACCTTTTTGGATGCTTGGTGTTGCATGACATTTTAATTATAATAATTACTTAAATTACTCGGAGGATACCATTGTATTGAAATAGCAAATAGTCTGGAACTAATTTATGCTTTCGTTTATGGTAATCCCTGGTAATCATAGACTATTTAAAAACTAGACTAGACTAGACGACAAATTTTAGAAAAATTTAAAAATTATTGTAATAAGTATATATATATATAATTTCTTATTAAAAAAAAGACATTATGGTGCTGTAGTCTATACTAACTATAAAAACTATAAAAACCATAAAAATTATAAAAACTATAAAAATAGTATAATTCTAAAATGCATCAACTTTTTACAAAAGCAATATTTTTAAAAGCTATTTAGTAGGTTTATAGGGCATATTGTAGACAACAAAGTTATCGGTCAGATTTTGAAATTTTGCTTTTGTAAAAAGATATAGTAATTATAGGCTATCAGCACCATATTTTTTCTTTATCGAACAATATAAGTTTAACAAACTTCCTTTTTGATAATTAATAAAACGTGAACAAAATTTGTCCATACTCATACATTATCGTTCTAATATCTTCTTTATCAATAAGGTTTAAAAAAAGAAGTTTAAAATTAAATACTGTACATAGTTTAATAAATCTTATCTAAAGCTACTATATATATATTGTGTTATATATTCTTTGCAATTGATAAGTTTAATATAGCATATGAAAAATATATACCGTATTTGCACGTAATAACGCGCAGGTGTGCATTATTTTGAGACCCTGTGTTTTATCTCAGGACGCGCATGCACGGTAATTCGAATCATTTTGACAAATTTGGGTTACAAGAGGAAGCCCTAATTTTATTAACGAACTTAGCCCGAAAAATTCAGTCAAATATGTAATACAGTATATTTAAGGGGCATATTATTTTGGGACGCGCATAGGCGTTATTTTAAAAAAATGAGTTTCAAAATAATGCCCATGTGTATTATTATGTGCAAATATGGTCGACTGTTCGCACCAAATACAGAGCAAAGAATGAAATAAATACATATAATATTTTATTTATTAAAAAATAGGAGTTATTTTTGATGCACAACTGTACTTTACATAATGCACATAACTGACTTTGAGGTAATATCAAATCTAATTTTTAAAATAACAACAATTTTAAAAATTTTTAGTACAGATTTAAAAAAAAAATTAAAAAAATAAATTTAACCAATCAAACTCAAATTTATAAGTTTATATAAATTATTTTATTATATATATAATATTTTTTGTCAAAAAATAGAATTACTTGCTGTATTAATTATAGTTATTGCATGCAATAAATATATACTATATACTGTAAATATATAGTTTATTGTGTTATTTATCATCAGAAATTTTAACATACAGTATTTAATAGTTAATTTGAATATTATTACTTGAATTTGCTACTTATAAAGCAAACCTTATAAATAAATAAATTATTGTCAATAAAGCAAACAAATATATATATAGAAAACCAAATTTATAACTTATCTTGATAACTTTTAATCCAATTTAATATTTTAACTGTCAAAGAAAACTTAGATATTAAGCTTATTTTGACTACCAAATTATTAAAGTTGTCGTTGAGATATGAGCTGTGAAAGTTAAGATATAATCTTATTTAAATATTAATTTTCTTGTTTCTATTAACAATAACCCAAATATTGATACCTGGTAAGAAGGTCTTGAAATTTTAAAGCAACCCAAATATTAATACCTGGTAAGAAAAATAATTAACTCATGATAATTTATAGTGCTTTTCAAATTAGTGTAATCATCAGATTTTATATATTACACACTACACAGGAATCTGGAAATCTGAGTCTTTTCAAGTTTTGATTGAAGATATCTCAACACCCACTTGGTCAAATCCAATGAACTTTTTTTTGTTTTACTTGTGGACATTAGTAGAATCTAAATAAAAAAATTTTATTGAATATGCTTAAGTGAATATCGAGATATCTTTATTTAAAGTTTGAAATGCACTTCTATCTAAATTTTTACAAGAATTTATCTCGACACCTACTTGGCCAAATTCAATAAACTTTTTTTTTTTTTTTTTACTTGTGGGCATTAGTAGAATTCAAATAAAGAAAAATTTATCAAATATAATTAGGTAGGTAGCGAAATATCTTCAATCAAAGTTTGAAATGCATATCTACTCAGATTTTTACAAAATTTGTAATTAAAGATATCTCAACACCTACCTGGCCAAATTCAACAAACTTTTTTTGTTTTAATTATAGAGATAATCAGAATTTGAATAAAAAAATATTCATCAAATTTAAAAAAATAGTTGTGATAACTTCTATCAAAGTTTGAAAATAAATTTTAATGCACTTCTATTGTTAAACATTGGGGAATTTTTACTTCTACTTGGTTAACTAAAACTAAATATCATATGCTAATAGATAACACATAATAGAATTGGGAATTGACAAGGAATTTTTGGAATTGTGATTTTTTTTTTTCAAAAGAGGTCTTTCTTTGATTCTCTTTATTAAAAATATAATTGAATTACATAGTAAGAATATATATTGATTTATAGGGGAATAAAAAGTTAGAGCTATTTATTTATAGAATTTACTTATGATTTATTCTTTGTTAGAAGGGTCAAGACCTCTAGGCTATGCTATTAGGGTTTGTTATATTATAAATGATGAATTGTTGAAGCCAAGTAAATCAGAAAGTTAGAACTTGTTTTGAAAACTTTTTTGTTTTAACTTCAGTAAGTATTTGATTGGTGTTTCAGATCGGTGTTTGTTGATTACATTGACTTGATTTCTATATTTTTTCTTGAATCGATTTTAGAATTTTATGATGTAGTTCTATAGCTAAACTGGTATTGAGTTTCTGAGTTGCAAAGAGTTTTAATAAACTGTCACAGATGATTCCTAGAGGGATTTGTTGGGTACAGTATGTTTTAGTAAAGCTTTTAATAAACTAGTTGAGGTGTGGTGCTATCACCATATGTTTTCTATAGATCTTGTTAACAACTTGGGTAATAATTTCTTTGAGTAAGGTCTAGTTGCTGGGGCAAGATATGAGGTGTAGTATATTTTCGATTTGGTTAAGGCATTTTGCATAAAATGGATTTGGGTAGTTTTTTAGATCTCTGTTGAATATTACAAAATGAGTAGGTAATTTGTTGGTTATTAGTTTGTTTTGAAAGCTTTTAGTTTTGCATGTTTAGCGTTGGTATATCTTTGAAGTGGCTTGTTTTTGAAATTAATATGGTCAAATGTTAGCTTCTAGTTAATGTTAGTACTATATTGATTCAAGCAAAGAATTCTTTTTTGGTGAAGCCAATTCAAATGGGCTTGGGCCTGTAAAAGGATTTTGGTAAGCTGGTGTACTAAGTAAGTGCTGGGTATATTTGCTAGATTTGGTATAAAGAATGATTGTATGATAGAACTGGGGTTAAGATTAATTTGGAGTTTGAGCAGTGGAGTGTGAGTTGTGGGAGGTTTTTTACTAGAAAAGTTGAATATTATAGTTATTTCTTTAGCTATCATGATAGCATCTATTATCTGTTTAAGCCAGTTGAAGTTGTCTTTTCACTGTTTATGCTGGTTATAGGTTTTTGTAGTAATGAATTAGAATAATAGAGTAAAGTTTGTACTGATATTGATAGTAGTATTAAGTAGACTTATTGTTAGTATTAGTGCAATGATAGTGAGTGTTGAGTAGATTGGTAAGTGCCAGTTTGTATTTGTAATTAATTAAGTTGTTTTTGAATCCATAAAGGTGGTGCATGCAGTTGGATTATTTTTATATAGTGCAGATTTGGATATGTGAACCTGAATTTTTTTGTTAAGATATGTTTGTGTAAACATAGACCATACTGTGGGTTGATAATTGGTAAATATTTGTGAGAACCGATAGGTCATCCTGTAGCTTGGTGGGGTAGGCTGATAAGTGTTGGAGCTGGAGTAAATTTGCTTGAGTAATTTTGGTAAAGAGGCTTGGTAAATGGGCATGAATTTGGTGTTTTTTGTCGATCTGAATTTGGTATAGCTGGTTTGTTGCAAAATGAAATGTGCATTTTGCTTTGCGCAGGTTTTTTTCATTTTGAATACAGTCTGTGCATTGTTTTAAAGTTTGAGATATGTGGTCCAGCATGTAATATTGTATTGTTGCAACATTATTTTAAATACTAGATATTTTGTCTATGGATTTAGTGGTGGTAATAGTTCAAGTATTTTTGCATAGAGAGGCTTTTTTGTTGAAGAAATGGTTAGGATATATTAGATCAGTTGAGGGATTGGAGTTGTCTTTTATTAGGGTTTGAATTGTTTAAAACCATTTAGGTGTTTTTCCATGTAGAATTTTATTTATATTGTGGTAGAATTGTTTTCACTCTAGTAATTGGTTATTTTGGATGTTTAGAAATTGTTCAATATAGTCTATATAATGTTTGTTTAAAAATGTTTTGATAGCATGTGATTATTGAAGCTGGCTGACTATATTGTTGATTGAGGTGCCAATTGTTTCATGAGGTATAGGCCAACTGTTTGCTTTACGGGTAAGACTAATTTGTAATATATGTAAAGTAAGAATTGCTTGAGCTATATAGATCTTGTTTTCGTTACTTGAAAACACTGGGGTTCCTCTAGGATCAATTTGTTGGTATGTGCTGCATTCTGTAACTGTTGAAGTCTAATTTTAAAAGAGGATTTTTCGAAATTTGGGGAATTTATTACTCAATCCAAGGTTCAGATGTGCTGTTGTTGTTGTATTTGCTTTAGTGTCTTGAGTGTGTAGATATTGGGGTGGTAGATTGTGGAGTTGGTACCGATCTTGCTAAACCAGCTTTGTGTTTAACTAAGCTTGTATATCTGTTAGTGGTTTGAGTTATTTGTGTATTGTTAAGGTAAGTACATTAGAGTTGGTACACTATACGAGTGAGTAGAACATTATTTATAATATAAACAGCTTGTTTTGGTGTAATTTTTGAATGTTTTAGTTTGTTAATGCCATTGTTTATCTCTCTTATAATGTGTTT